TTATCTATATACAATATATATATATAAAATATATTAAATATAATCACCATAAACGTATAAAACATTAATATTTTTGGGGTGTATATGCAGCTTCTAGGGTTTAGTGATTACTATCAACTCCGAGAAAACCTTCACTGTCTCCATCCCGCTGCCGGGGCGATGACAGACTCGATGGAAAAAGAAATAAACTTTTTACACTGGAAGTGGAGAGACCCACTCAAACTTATACATTAGTTTTTTCTTTTTATTTATTTGTTTGTGTGCTTGTTTATTTTTTTATTTATTTATAAATACATTTATATGGGCGAGAGAGGGATGGAAAAAGAAATAAACTTTTTACACTGGAAGTGGAGAGATCCTCTTAAACTTATACATTAATTTTATTTATTTATTTATTTATTTATTTGTTTGTTTCTCTTTTCTTTATTTATTTATATATATAAACACCTATACACCTGACGGATGGAGAAAGAGATTAACTTTTTACACTGGAAGTGGAGAGATCCTCTCAAACTTATACATTAGTTTTTTCTTTTTATTTATTTGTTTGTGTGTTTATTTATTTTTTTTTTTTTTTATTTGTTTAGTTGTTTGTTTCTTATAAACACACACCAGAGAGGGATGGAAAAAGAAATAAACTTTTTACACTGGAAGTGGAGAGATCCTCTTAAACTTATACATTAATTTTATTTATTTATTTTTTTGTTTTTTTTTTTTTTATTTGTTTAGTTGTTTGTTTGTTTCTTATAAACACACACCAGAGAGGGATGGAAAAAGAAATAAACTTTTTACACTGGAAATGGAGAGATCCTCTTAAACTTATACATTAAGTTTATTTGTTTGTTTATTTGTTTAGTTGTTTATTTATTTATCTTTTTATTTATTTATTTGTTTCTTATAAACACACTTATACTGGCGAGAGAGGGATGGAGAAAGAGATTAACTTTCTACACTGGAAATGGAGAGATCCTCTTAAACTTATACATTAATTTTATTTATTTATTTATTTATTTATTTGTTTGTTTCTCTTTTCTTTATTTATTTATATATATAAACACCTATACACCTGACGGATGGAAAAAGAAATTAACTTTTTACACTGGAAATGGAGAGACCCACTCAAACTTATACACTAATTTTATTTATTTATTTATTTATTTAATTTATTTGTTTATTTATTTATTTGTTTATTTATTTATTTATTTATTTATTTGTATTTAGTTATTTAGGTTTTACTATAAACAGAAGAAACAGAAAACACACTCATACATTTTTTTTCTTTACACTGCAAGCAGAGAGATCCCCTCAGGCTTTATATATTAATAAAAATAAAAATAAATAAAAATAATAAATTATAATATTTATTATATTTAATATAAATAATATTTATTATACAAATTGTATATATACTAAACAAAGCAGAAAAAAAAAAGGGGGGGGGGG